AGTTTTAGACCAGCCTGGCCAACATAGTGAAACCCTGTCTCTTCAAAATTTACCAAAAAAAAAAAAAAAATTAGCCAGGGGTACTGGCGCATGCCTGTAATCCCACGGTGAGGCATGAGAATTGCTTGAACCTGGGAGGCAGGGGCTGCAGTGAGCTGAGATCCTGCCACTGCAATCCAGGGTCTGGGCAACAGAGTGAGACTCTGTCCCTGCCCCCCAAAAAAAAGAAGAAAAGAAAAAAAACAAACTACTCACTAGTGATGTGCACATGTGGATGAAGAGCAGAAGTGAAACCCTCAGTGATAACAAAGGTGAACATTTCTAACCACTTGCAGCACTACATACACTGAAATGCTCTTACTCAACTGAGTGCGCTCTTATCCCTCTTCTGCAGATGGGCAAACCGAGGCACACAATGGTTAAGGACACTAAGGCCACACAAACCCAGGAACTCTGGCTACAGTATGCATTTGTAATGCATAAATCCAACTAATTTGGATGCCCCAAATCCAACAGAGGATGATGCCCCAAATCCAACAGAGAATGATGCCCCAAATCCAACAGAGGATGATGAGTGACAAAAATCAAAGAGCACAGAGTAGTACAATGAAACCATCATAAATCTAAGGGCTGATCTCGTACAGGTAACAGTATTGGAAGCAAGTGATTATTTCTGCAATGTTTAAATTTCAAAACTAGGGAATTACGGCATTTACTTTCACAGCCCTGACATTTTAAAACGTTCAGTAATGTTAACTCCAACTAGCCAAATGTAACACGATGGAACCTGTGAGCTGACCTAATGAAAAGCTCTCCTGGAAAATCTGCATTCTCCTGCCTTTGCAGGTCATGCTGAGGTCCGCTGGCTGCAGGACCAGGCCACTCTCCTGTGGCTCCTGCTCAGCTCTGCTCCTGCACTGAACTCAGTCCTTGCCAGAATCAGCTGTGGATGCTTCCAGGTCACACTATTTTAATTGCCTAATTTAACTAATGCTACATAAATGGTCAAAATGTGAATGAGAAAAAGGCAGACATAGTTTCTATGGCAACTAAGATACTACAGGAAAACTAAATAAAGGAAGGTACTTTTACAAATTACCATCAAATCAGGGAATTGAGAAAACTATAAAAGATGGAAGGATGGGAGCACTATAGTCTCAAAATCTAGAAGTCTGCTCTT